ATATATATATTTTTTCTCTTAACCCTTAGAGCTAAATGACGAAGCTTCTTCTTTAATTGGCTTTAGGTCCAAATTAGCACATGTCCTATCTATTTTGATAAATTTGGATGCTTAGATGCATTATTAGCTCCCTCAATCCCTCTACTTGAGTCAATCTAACATGAGGGTTTTTTTAACCTTTTGCTTTATTTTATTCTTCGAATCTTTCATTTTTCTTTATTTGTGTCTTCGTCGTTCTTATAGGGCAACTTCCGTAGATATCGAAATATTAGATTATTTATAATTGTGCTATTTGGTATGTCATAGTATTAGAATCTTCAGTGCATGATTTATTTAGGTTTGGTTTGATACGATTTGTTTAATATTTCTTAAAGCTGTTTTCTAGTACAAGATTTTTTATATTTGTACTAAAAAGCTACTTTAAGAAACAGTAAGAAAGTCATCCCAAGTAAAATCTTAGTCATAATAGATAGTATATTTAATGAAAATTTATTTTATCATACTCTCTAATATGATTTTGAGAATGATTTTACGAGCATCGAGATGTGATAGTTCACAATGAGAATGGTTTTAAGTCCACTAATTCACTTATACAAATCCATGAATTTTTTGGCATGAAGCACAATGCTTGTGCCAAGAATTGGATTAGGGGATATTGAACTATCAATTTTTTTTTTTTTTTTTTTTTTTTTTTTTTTGTATGATCTCTTCTACTAATTTTCAATTACTTTCAAAAAGAAAAAAAAAGTCTAAAATTTTGCTTGAAATTCCACTAAATTTCTCATAGAAAATAAATGCACTATCATTTCACAAATGAATCACATTCTTTGTATGACAGAGAAAAATTGGTTTAAAAGATTGAAGTTTTGGCCTAAACGCACTACTTTTTCTATTTTCATCTATCATTTATGTTATTTTTTCTCTCATTGTTTATCTCTTGCAAGGACTAATGGGCATAGCAAAATGGACAGGAGGGGTTCACAAAAATTACTGAGGTACTGCTTGATTTACTGAAAAAAGAATGAGCAGAATAAAAAAATGAAGTATAAAAGAAATCTTGTGTATTTAAAATATTTGAAGTTATTATGATGAGTGTAGAAGAAATGAAAGAGATTCTTTCTATTGGCTTAAAGTAAAATGATAGAGGTGTCCGATGGTGACAACAACATGAGTGGAAGTCGATAAGGGGCTGTGGCGACTAGTTGTTGCATCAATGGTGGCTGGATTCGGGGACAGTGACAGCTAGCTGTTGCGTAAACAGTGGTAGCTCAGAGAAGGTTGGTTGAGGTCGTCGATGGTTGGCAATGCCAGGTTGTGGCCTGGGCCGGAACCACATAGTTCTTAGGGGGGGCAATTGCCCCCCTCAAAAAAAAAAAAAATTTATAAGAGTCAAAACATAATTTTTTTTATATAGGAGAATAAAAAAAATTTTTTGCCCCTCCTAAAAAATTACTTTTGCCCCTTCTAAAAAATTCTTGTCCTAACTTGCCCTAAAATATCTATATATTTCTTCACA